TTTTCTTTTAAAAGTTGTTTCTTACACTTGCTTATAGTGTTACTGTTATACTGCAAGCTTGCTATACTGTTCTTTCTCACGTTTGCTTATAAAAAGAATTTTTTTTTAGATAAAACAATGAATATGTTTTAGAATTCATCCACTTTTAGCAAATATTGCTGAAACTGTAAAAAAAAAACTATCAAAATGTTTGAAACGTGTGAAATCTGAATAATAAAAAATGAAGAAAAGAAAGATAAGTGCAAATTGAACTTCCGTGAAAATAGCGAATATTTAAATTGAAGAAAAAGATAAGTTTTTCTTTGACACTTAACCTTATTTAGTTTAAGGCTGTTTGCAAGTTAAATAAAATTTAATTTGCATAATATATGCTAAGATTCAATGTTGTTAGATAAATAAAAGTCAGAAGGAGATAAATGTAATTCAGTTTTAACTCTTGATAGCTTTTATCCAATACATTTTGAGATAACTTTTATCTCAATAAAGTGCAAGTCGACTCCACTTTATAGAAACCGTAGAATTTTTTGGTTATTTTCTTTTATTTAGTTGAAATAATTAATGCGAATTTAAGATTCAGAATTTTAAAACTTTTAATATTTTAAACTTTTTTTTTTATAATAATTACATTTCAGTGCAGATTATATTATTATGCTATCATCAATTACTGTTAAAGAGATTTGTTAAATGGTTTAAAACTTAACGACCAAATTCATGTGTGTGTTGCATACACAAATTTTATATAATAGTTATATTAGCTCGCTTGGTCAGCGAAAAAACTGAATTACGGTCGTGAACTCACCGAATTTGTTATAATTTTATATCTAAATTTTTTTAAATGTTATTTTTAAAAAATGATTACTGAGTAAAATTAATTTTGTTTACCAATAGATCTTTCTAAGTAGATATTAAAATTAATGTTTAAAATAATTATTTTTTAATAGTAAATTCAACGTTATATGTAATTAGTAAAAATAAATAACAAATTTCAATTAGGGATTCTGATTCACAATATGTATCGAATTCTGTTTATTTCAAGCTCGATTTCAATAAACTGTTAAAGAGATTGCAAATTAATTTAATACAGTTACATTGATGTCTAATTGAAAATAGATCGATGGTTAATAGATTGATGACCATAGAAAGAAAAAAAAACATTTATTATTTATGCACATAACGGTAAATCGGTCACAAGACAATTAAAGATATCATTATTATCAGCGGTGATACATTTCCGATCTCAAAACTAATACTTTTTGTGTTAATATCCGTTTGGTAATTACATATCTCTGCAAGAAAAATGTTCAAAGGCTGCAATTAATACGATACGAAAGCTAAGCAACATAACATTTACATAATAAGCTAAAAATGTGCTCTTTTTTATTTCAGAACAATTTAACGACGACTGAACCACATTTCATCGAATCGTTTCCATTTGAAGTTTTTGCACCTACATTAGCTAAGTGCTATCTCATAATTATTGCCGGGTAAGAAATATTTTTTTATTGTTGCTTTTATGGCTAAAATAAACAAATGAGAATAAAATATGTTTAAAAAATACTTTCCTTTCTAATTTTAGGAGATTTGGACTACGAACATTTAGGGAGTTATTTATTATTTTTGTTTAACTTTTAGGGCTTTTTAAAATTATGTTCGCATCTGAAATGGACTTATAACTTTTGAAGTAGATTTATCAGACTTATGACTTAATTTTTCTTTTTCCTCCTGTTCAACATCTAGTGATGCTGAAGGTTATTTTATTGTCGATCAATTATTTCACATTTCTTTTGACCTTAAATCGATTCATCTAAAAAATTATAGAAAAAAAAATAACCTCATTAAATCGGGAAGCATGTTTCGATTTAATTTGTCTTCAACATGTTCAATTGTTGTTTTCATATTTGTTACGTATATTTTTTAATACAATAACAGAAAAAACAGAAAATTTCAATATTCGAAATGTGTATATTTCTTTTAAATGAAATTAAAATAGTAGAATTGCAAAAAAATACAAATTTTTTTATTATAAATTTAAAATAAATTAAAAATTGTTGATATTGAAAGATATTATAAAATTTAATATTTTAATTATTCCCAAAAAATATATCACATTTCTAAAGTTTTAAAATTTCAAGTTTTTGAAAAAATTTTGAAATATTTTGAACATATTTTGCATATTTACTTGTAAGCAGAGCAAAAAATTTGAAAAAAATGTTTGTATTTTTAAGAAATTTAAATAAAGGGGAATAATAAAATGCCTGATTTAAAAGAAAGTAAAAATTTAATTTAATAGTTAATTTTATTAATATTAATATTTGATTTAATTTATTAATTATCCCCAAAATAAAAAATATTACTTTTAAAAAGTTTTAAAATTTCAAATTTTTAAAAACCATTTTATACATTTATTGTGTGTGAACACGGTAAAAAATTTAAACAGAATGTTTTTATTTCTAAGAAACATCAAAACTGTGAAATAATAAAATACCTAAGATAAAGGAAAGTGAAAAAAAAATATCTGAATGACTGATTTTAAGAAGCAATCATAAAAATAAAAGCGTTGAGTTTATATTTTCAGTTTATGATCATATACTTTGAAGGAAACAATTTGAACAAGAATAGAATTCATCTTAAACTTTTTAGGAAACAGTATAAATCTTTAGATATTTTTTAAACAAGTACATATTTGGTACCTGGTTGACAATATTTGAATTTTATAGATTCATCGTTCTGTAGCGAATTAAGTTGCGTCCTCAACAGTTGTTTTTCAAAGCATGCATTTTACTAAGAACCATGCTCTTACCTGAGGAGGGCAGCTTGCTTTAATGTATATCAATATATATTTCCCTTACCGAAGCAAATAAGATGAAACAATTCCGTTCCTTAAAAATTTATTATCATTTATTGCCACCTGCTTTGCGTTATTAGATTAAGCAAATCATGTTTTTTAGAAAATCATCCCCTCTAAACAGCAATGAACTATATTCAGAATTATTTAACAAAATGCTATTGCTCGTGGTAAATTTCTGACAGTCAAAACTTACCATAATCACCACTTTAAGGTAGGTTTTGATGGGCCAGTGCTCAAAAAATTAAGTACCTATTAAAAACACTAATTAACATAATATCAGTAGTATCTATTACCAAAATTAAGCATCATCGGCGTCAATAACCATAAAGCAATTTTTTGCTGTTTTCCTAGACGAATAAGTACTTTTTCTCAATTCATTTAGCTTTTTCGTACAATTCTTTTTAAATTTCAATTTGTACTTATTACTGAAATTAATTATAATTCTTGAAATTAATTAATAACGGCACAAATATTTTTTAAAATCATTTTGAATATTTTTTAAAATCATTTTGACGAACTAATAACAGCAATTACTTCGAAAGTTGTTAAAAATCGCCAAACTATTATTGACTTCAATAATGCTTAATTAATACTGTGGAAATGGGTTAGAATCTTGAAATCTTTTTAACTTTCGTGCTTAATTAAACGTAAGAAACGCATTCCGTTAACCCCACATCATTGAGAGAATTCGAGAACAATAAAACTCAACAATCACTTGTTTATCAGTACACAGCTGCGCAATATAAAAATCAATGTGCAAATAATATAAAGCTTATAAATGAGATTTGATTCAAATTGCAAGAGAAATATTTTTCTCAAAAATCAGTCATTTGAAATTAAGCTAAATTAAGTTAAAAAGTGAAACATTTTATGCAAAAGGCATAACAGTTCTAAATCTGTGGGTTCAGCAGATGAATGCATTTATTCAGAAGCATGCATTAATCTCAAAAGATTTTATTTCATTATTTAGAGTGTTTCATTATATCACTCAATTCGAGGTACAATATAATACTGATAGACCTTCACGTTTCGTTATTTTTCAAGTATAAAGAGTGCGCTACTTTTCAAGTGCCAAAAACTGGTAAAAAATATTTAGATGAGAAAAATACAAGACTAAAAGGATGCATTAACTTTTTTTTCTCTATTCAGAATTGTGTCTAGGTAAAAATAATGCTAAATTTTGTTTCATTGTAGTCCATTTTACTTTATAGCTAAAATAAAACAAAATAAAATTCTCAAACAAATATTAAATATAGAGGAAAATAATTCATTTCTGAAATATATTAATACGAAATTAAAATGAATAAACATATCTTATTATTGGCTCGATAGATAGAGCTATTCAGATAATTCTCAAAAAAAATGTGGTTAGTAATGAAAACACAAATTAAATCGTAAAGTTAAGTTTACACTGTAGATTATCCCGGATCAATAATAAGGCAAATAATAAGGTTGATAATAAGGTAGATAATAAGGTAAAAGTACCAGCACTTAGGGTGCCGGTACTTTTTACTGTAAAGTCCATTTTTTCCGGAGCATGTTAAGGAACAAAAAATCTGATATACCGTAATTTTTACTGTAATTAATACCGTAAAATCACTAAATCACACTCATTAAATAAATTTAACTGTGAAAATTGCGGTATAATATTTTACTGTTAAAAATTTATTTTGCGGACGATGCACCAAAAGTGACAATACTTTACACCGTAATTTGATCGTTACTTTCTTACAATGTATATTAATACTATTAAAACGCAATTTTTATTCAATGAGCTGGAAATAAATTCGATAACTCGAAAAAAGGAGAAGAAATAAGTATTTAACGTTTTTCAAATATTAACTGTTTTGTAAATTTGTTTTCAGCTACTTGGTGGCAAGATTCCAGATATTATCTGTTGCTGACCAACGTGGTGCTACAGCGTTTGTTTCATATGTTGGAATGCCAGGAATTATATGCGTTACCCTTGCTGACGCTGATTTTTCAGACTTCAGCTGGGAACTCATGCTGGCACTTTTCTTCGGAAAGCTATTCGTCTTTTGCCTTGTGGTTATCATGACGGTAGGAATCACTGGAAACTTGGGAATTGCTGGCGTTCTCGCCGTGTTTTTGGCTCACTGCAATGATCTTCCAGTTGGAAATCCTCTCAGTAAGTAAATAATGTTGGATCATATGTAACTAAAAATGCATGGTGACCCGTGATGACCTTCTCTATAATGTATTTTTAGTGTACTTATTGTCCAGTCTGAAATGAAATAAAATTATACTAATGAAGGATCAAAAATTACTGTTCCGAGCAAAAGGGTTCGTTTTAATTGGAGATGAATGAAACAGTCCTTAAGACTCCAAAAATTTATTAGCAGAATCTTCCAGAAAATACAGTTATTTCTAGAATTCAATTACAGCTCAAATAACAGCGCATTACATCAAAACACAGGCTTTTGAAATTTCAGACAGTTCAGTGATCTCGCAGATCAAAACACTATTGCAGTCACAAGCAGAATAGTGATCTCTGAGATGCACATTCCTAATTATGCAGGCTTTTGACGACGAATCTCTGAGACTTTCAACACGATTCTAGACAATTCTCGCATAGCTCCGTAAATATTGGTCCTACTTCTTTGAAATTGGAAGTTTCCAGAATTATCATTTTGTCGCCAAAATGGTCGTCAAGTAACGCCAATTCACCAAGATTATCAAGAAATCGGCAGAAATATCGCCAAAACGAGTCTTCTATAAGAAATTCGTAAGGCGTTATTTTGACTTTAAATAACGTTAGAATTACTTGATTTTCTTTGCAAATTTTCTAATCAAACTGTTTACTTAGTCTTTGTCTGATATATTTAGGCTCATAACTATAATATTAACAAAATTATACACATAAAACAAATTCGTAACAATAACGCAATTGAAATGTAACGAATAACTTGTGAAAAAGGTGGTACGGAAAACACTAATTCCTTTTCGATTGCAGAAGGAAACGGAGAGTTTAATGGTCAAATATTAATACAGTCAAACCCCGCTATAGTGAACCTTCAAGGGACTGAAATTTCGGTTCACTATAACCGGGAGTTCACTATATCCGTTACGCAGGCAATTTAACTAATGTTTCACAAACTCCTCCCTTTTATTACACATTATGCAAATAAATGACTGAAAAATATTATGTAGTAACAAAAAATGTGTTATTTTTCATTACTCTTTGTCTTGCGAGCAAAAAAAATTTGTATTCTTTAGCTGATGAGCAATCCTCAACATGAGATATGGAAACACTTCCCGACTATCAGATAATTTTTCCTGAATTTCTGTTATTCCGCTTTTTAAACCTGTCTAACCTGCCATTCGAGCACATAAAAGTAGTTTCTCAAAAAGTGACTTGAGTA